TAGAGAATATGATCAATTATAAAATCAAAAGTTGTACAATAAACACCTTATCTTTTTTCTTAAACATTTATTTAAGGCCTATGTGGGGAAAAAATGGAGTTCAGAGTGTCCAATCTATTTAATGTGTGATTTAACATCACTTTATCAATCATGTTTTCCGATTAAGCAGAATATGTGATAGTTTTGTCCTCAATGAACAACAATCCTTGTTATGAAATATAATAAGTCTTTAAATGTTTTGAGTAACCAAATAAATTCCCAATTTATAATGTCTTAAAGTGAAGAAAACTCCATCATGACTATCCTTATCTCTGCCTGTGTGAGTAATCCTTCTAACATGAAACCATTACCTATCCTTTTCTGGCAAAAAAAAAACTTTGAAATTTTGTATAAGGAAAAGAAAGAGAATGAAGTAATTTTTTTTTCCCTTGACTATTTTAAACAGTTACAAGTGGGTTTTTTTAAAAAGCAAAACAAAGCAAAAAAAACTCCAAAACCAAACAGACACAAAAAAACCCACCACCAGCAAGAACCATCACTATATACTTTATATTCCACATTGACAAGCTGTATAATTTTTCTGAGAAAGAAATGCTTAAAAGCCTTTTAAAAAACACTCTTTTGGCTGCGTTAACAAGCGTGCAGTATTTGTAATAGGTGCAGCCTCGTCACTCTCCTGGCCTGAAAGTTGACCCTTAATTATTCTGGAGGTGGAATTCATAGCCCACTATTAAAATGGAATAGATCAGGGATTGAATAAGACTAAAATGTTAGATGGGCACCACTCCCTCTGTCCTCCCTCTGACCCATGCAGCTCATGCAGTGTTCGGTCATACTAAGGGATCCTGGTTCTGGGAGTTCTCAGAAGGAAATAGGAATTTTTTTCATCAAGTCATTGTGCTATTTGGTTTGTTAAATTGTACATAGCAATAGGATCTCAGCCTGCTTTTGCTGACTTGTACCTTCAGGAAAAATCTAGTAACTGACTTCATGAGTGAGAAACTTTAGGTTTTGTGTGAGTCCTGAGAAGAAATGGGAGGACTTGGAGGACATGTCTGTGGACTAGCCAAGTTTGGGAAGAAAGTTTAGATCTACCATTTCAGGGTAAAATACCAACAAGAACATTTAAGGAGCTGTATTTGGAGCTTATTTGTAAAGTACCACGTTGTTATCAACAATACATAATCCAACAGTAATTTATTCATTGTATTTACATGGGTATGTTTGTCCCAAGAGAGATCATTGAAAGAATTAATTTCTTGGAACAAACAAAAGCTATAAGTTCTCCAAAGGTACACAAAAGACTACGGGTGAATGATTTTTTTCCTTCTAATGTGACTAAGGAAGTGAGAAGTGTAAAGCTTCTAGCCATTTTTTTTCAGATTATGAAACTTCACTCTTGCCCCCCTGTTTTGTCACTTTCATGTGACTTTGGGGAACGTGAACATCTCAACTACCTATATTACATTGATATGATACTTATAAATTCTTGAACATTCCAAGTCATCATCCCAAAGACATGGAGATACTGCCTTCTTTTTATTTATATGCAGAAATTTTCTCTGATCTGAATTACTCGTTATGAAAAAATTCCATGTCAATTTGTATTTCTCTCTATCTACTAGAGATCAAACTAGTCTTTCCTTTTTGCTTTTTATATTTGTGCTTGGAAGAACTTAAATATGGGCATTTTGTCATGTAATTCACAATGAGTTAAAGGTAAGTACATTCGTTTAAGTGAGGTAGAAAAGCGTCCGTCACTGACAGTAATTGCTAACCGCAATCTTTCAGAGGATGGAAAAATGATTTATCTCACTGTTTCCTCAGTAAGACCTCGGTTCTACAAGAATGACTAAGAGAAACTTAGTATTTTAAAGTTTTTCCAGGCTATGCTTTTTAGAGGCACTTTACTCCTTATTAGGATTTGCTTTATTGTAGTCTTACTGATGTTTTGTCCTTTTTATTTATTCAGTATCTAAGCCACATTAATTGAATTAGGCTACCTAAAAAACTTCTAAATTAAAACAGCAGTAAAACTATTGCAGTATTAATTGATAGACAAAAATTTTCAGAAAAAAATACATATTCTGCAGTTTTGGGACTAAGATGTAAATAAATATCACTGTGTGGTTCATCAAAAATGCATTTTTGATGCCAGGAATTTAGTCTCACTTGATGTCAGTTGGGTTGATATCACTGACCTATTGGCTCAGTAATCTGACTGATTATAAATATAATATAAATGTAAAATTATAAATATAAGTATACATGACAGTTACAGAAAAAGTTCATCGATCAAAATATGACAATATTACCAAAAATAAGAATAAGGCTTGATAAATTATGCATTCAGAAAGTCTTTATGAATACATGGAAGCCTGTCCTTTGGAAGAACACCTTCTCACCATAAACTGAAAGTGTTTTGCTTGATGTGAGCAGTGTTATGACAATATGTTAGATTAATTAATTCTTTCTAATTGCAGACAGCAATTAAACACTTTTCCTCCAACTAGATTTTTGATATGGCGGTAGGTTCATTGAGTACAAGATATTATATGGCACCAGATGTTCCCCTGCAAGAAAAGAAGCAGCAGTCACCTGTAACCACTATTACCTGCTCCCTATCATATACCCAGATTTTCAGATGCCTGTGTAACACGTGTTGAAGGAAATCAGACACCCTGAAGTTCATAACACTGATTTAAACTGTAACACGGATGGTGTTGAATGGAGAAGTTGCCTAGTTGTCTAGCCCGCGGCATGTGGCAATCCATCATCTTCCATGTGATTCTAATCCTTTAGCAATGCGCACCATCAGAGGTGCCATCCTGGTTTCTCATTTATCATGTAAACGTTATTTTGTATAATTTCCTTTTTAATGGCAATTCACATTATTTAATTGTACATACTGTTTTTCAAATCTTGGTTCTCATTAATTGAAACTGTATTAATTTGTATAACTACTGTAAAAATAGTTTAATAAGAAGCAAAAATTAAAATGTTAATGATGTGATGAATTACTTGGTCTAGTTCTAGTGTCTACTGAGAACTGTCTCTGCATCAGATGGGCCCAAGCTTAATGTTCAGTCTTTCAGACATTGACTGGAACCATGTTTATTGTCAGTGATATTATGTACTATATTTAGTAACAAATGCAAATGTTACTGAACGCTAGAAAAATTCTTATCTGTTAGTAAGTTTTTCTTCTAATAAGCCAGTAATATGTCCAGTTAAATTTTGCAGATTCTAATCAAATGAAAGAATTCTTTCTGTATTGGATGCTCTCTTGCCAGACTGAGGAACCAAACCAGTGGCCTGATCTGTGTTGCATGTGTGATCACTACTTGCGTCAGGTGTAAGAAACAGTGGATGCAGTGGAATTTAGGAACTGCATTCTCAAGAGACTCCCCCACATCTGAGCAAGCAATTGACTTCTGCTTTGAAGCAAAATTGCCTAATCGTACATGGTTTTGACTAATGAAACTGTGGCTGCTCTGATAAATCTCCGGATAAATGCCTAGTCCTGTTTTAAACTGTGACTAAGTAGTTCTTTACATGAGCAGGGAACTGAAAATTCCAGGCTTTTGTCATTTTATCAGCCAGTACGGCCTATGCCTAATGGTCATAAACATCACTCGAGGTATCGGCCGAGGATATCTGCCTAAGCTAGAACATGTCATCTATGATGTGTGCTGGAAGTACAGTCTTTGCCCCAACACAGAAACCAAGTTAACCATGTTTGGTAGGGTTCACACTGAACAGTATTTATGTTGTGTGGCTATAGTTTAAGCTATGCTATAGTCAGCAGAGTGCGTGTGTTCTTCAAAAGTCTGACAAGAAAATAGTATCTGTCTGGGGATGAACTCCAGAAACCTGGTTAGCGTGGGGTGGTGCTGAGGGAAAGGGTCAAAATCAAAATGTGTTGCTCTTTAACTGAGAAATAAGAACTTTATCCAGTTATGCTGTATGCATAAAATGTGCATTACCTAATCAGAATTTCAGAGAGAAAAGATAACTGGTTAGTCCAGAAAACTCTACCTTATTCCTTCTGGATGCACAGAAATGTGTTGTTAATGACAAGGAAGAGAAATGCAGGAATCTAGGAGCTTCTGCTTCCCTAAAATGGAAAGGTTTTGCAGATAATTTCCCTAAAGTGAGTAGTCTGAGTGTGTCTCGCTCCTAGAGAAGGGGAGAGAAAATGATTGTCTTTATTTACTGAGGATTTAAAAGGATCTCCTGAACCTCTGCACTCAATACATTACATGTATGTTGTAAAAAGCCAGATCTCCTCCTGAAGGACTACGCAGGAAAATAATGTTATGTCAAATAAAAAGCCAGCAGTCCTTCCGCACAGGGTGCAGGCTGCTTGCCTGACCCCAGCTTCAAAGGCAAATCGCCCAAATGCTTTCTCACTATGTAGCTGAGTAAGTAGCTGTTCTTGTGAATTTTCCTTTCTTATCTCCAGGGAAGGAGACAGAAAAAAAAAAAAAATCTGAAGTTAACCCCTTGTATACCAGCAGATAGTAGCATTTCATAAGGTGTCTACATGCATGAACGTTTGAGTATTTCCTAATTTCTCTGTTTATGCCAAGTTAAGTTAATGTGTTTAAAACTATAAGAAAGCGTTACAAACAGAAATCAGATAAATGAGCAAATAATAAAACCTGTTTGAACACTTTGAGTTTTCCAGAAGAATAGTATGGCTTAATTCTAAATACTTTATAGTATGAAATTACTTTTGCTACTGACATTGAAATCAGAGTAAACATCTGTTCACATAAATAGAGCAGATTTTAGACCAGTTCCCACATAAAAATACACTTTTTCTCAGGAAAAAATAATCCCTTGAGGCCTGGTCTTTTGCAAGCATTTCTGACCCAATTTGTATGTATTACTTGTAAAATTTATATCCTTTCCTCTTTCACAGGCACTGCATAAAGAATTATGGGAAGAAAAATGCATCGTAGATTGCATCATTTTTTTCTTCTTTATTCCCACAGGCACAACAGCTAACAGATCTGGAGCAAAAACTAGCAGTTGCAAAAGACGAATTGGAAAAGGCAGCCCTTGACAAAGTAAGAAGTGTAACGTAATGTGAGCGTGTTTATCTCTCTCAGCTGTGAATGTTCCAGTGTAATTTGACAGAAACAAATGAAAGTCTTGCAACACTTTAGATGCATACTTAATTGCAGGTACCTGGGAGTAATGCTACTGAAGCCAGTGGAACTAATTATGATGCATGAAGTGAAGTACAGCTAGTATTTCTGTACTCTGAAGTACAGAAGTTATTTAAGAGGAGGGCAATCAAATTAGAAAGAAACATCTCAGAAACCCATAGAAAGCCAAATGCTGCAATTCTTTATGTGCAAAAGTACACTAACGAGAATATGCCTGTAATTGGTATGATTTTTATCTGAGGTGTTGTCATAGTTCCAAGTAGGATGCAGTACAGAAATGGATCGTTCTCTTGTTAGGGTGGGACAGGTGTGACAGAGCTGTCTTCTGTGGGCAGAGGGAGGCTGTGAGGAATCTCAGAAAGGCGACAAAGCAGGACATGTTCGCTACTGTCAGCTGTGCAACAGGGGAACTTTATTCTGGATTTTGGGTAGCTGGGAAGACAATACCATGCAACAGAGAAACAGTTTGTTAGAAAGAACTTTGATGTGCTATCAAAGACTACTTTTTTGGTTTTGTTTTCTAGTATTTTCAGGTACCATTTGACGTTTGGAAAAAAGTATGCCCCTTGCACTGAAAGTGTTTTTCTTTAATCTTCAATATTGCGGTCACTGAAATCCTCTTCTTGTGTGAGGATTCGCATCCAACATTGCAAAATGTCATCTATGTACACAATGTTTCCAGTGGCATTAGTCAAACCGGTGTATGTATCTGGTGATATATCATGTGTTTCTTGTTAGTACATTGAACTAAATGGCTCCACATATTAATTTAAAAATTAAGCATGTTCCGTTTTTACTCATATAACACTCACAGACGTGGTCTCTCACTGGTGCCAATATACTATCTGTGGCAATAGCAAGAGAGCAGTGTCTGCCATAAATATCTTCTCAATGCAGTTTGTCGTGATAATGCAGACAGTGAGTGGTGAAGGAGGAAGCAAAGAACATTTGACATCAGGAACTTTTAATGAGAGTGCTATTAAGGGATTCTGTCTGCAAATTAAAAGGGGATTTGCAGCACACTCAACTGACTTCTCTGACCTTCTCTTTCTTTCCTATTAAATATTACAGAATTTCAATTCAGGGCTCAGTTATGGTTCCATAGGCTTACCAGAAGCCCGGTGTCATCTTGTTGCAAATCATCTTTGAGAGTCTTTGGACGGTGTCATTAGTTGCATGCTGCAAAAGTGCAGTGGAAACGGCAAACAGAAGTGAAAAAAAAAAGCAGTGCAAACAAAGGAGGCATTCGTGCCAGGGAGAATTGTGAGACAGTTTTATGAGACTAGAAATACCCATGTTTGGCTAGTTCTAACTGCAGAGTAGTAAGACCATTTAAGTTTTAGGTACCTTTTTTCCCTGGTTAAGAGCTTTTCTGTATGAACTATGTAGTGAAAAGAGTTAGAAATGGCTAATGGTTTCACACAGTTTCAGCTAAAGGACTGGAAGCAATGTGTAAAGTGATGTGCGTTTTTAGAACATGAGCTACATTTGAAATGAATAATTTTCTGATCGAATCTCAAACTGTGCCTATAAATAGGCATTAATTTGTATTTTTCTACTGGGAGGGTATCAGACTTTTCTATTAAATACTAATTTGTGCTGACAGTGAGCTTAGTGACTCTTAAGTCTACTTATTACGCTACAGCACTTTTCTAGTTCCTGTGATAGACCCTTGGAAGACTGACAAATTTTGCATTACCATGGCCCAAATTATTCTATATTGAATCTAACCACATGACAAGAGCATAAACAGATCTGGGAAATCTGAAGACATGCATCTTATGTATGTTGGCAGTACTTTGACCAGCAAGCAGCCTATTTTGGCCACGATCACAGCTATGTGAGGTTATCGAGAACTTTGTCAAATTATATCCCTCATTTGAACAGTGTTTCCCTAAGTTCTACTCTCGTGCTGCCCATTTATACATCTCCTGTCAGCTGAAGTCAAAACTGAATTTTGCTACCCACAGGATGAAAAAAAAAAACCCAAGCCTATTCTGCTTTAACCTTTGGAATGACAAAATGGCTGGTGGTAGAGAAGGCAGAACGAGTGCTGGATGACAGGGATGGGCGATGAGAGAATGATTAATTATCCAGAGGGATTTCCAGACAGGAGTAGGTGATTTCAGATCAGTGTGATTTGCAGGGAGAACTGGGGTCATACAGTGCCTTAACAGCTGAGTCCATATCTTCAAGCAAAATTAGACAGTCTGCTACCTCTGCCAGTTTGATGTCTGAGCTTACTTTGACTATCTCAAATGGTGATTTATGTTGTCTGTGCAGTCACTTCTTGAAAGGTAAGGGAGAAGACATATTACATGAAAAGAAGTACGCTAAGATCTTCTGTTGACAGTTAGAAATTAAAAGATCTCTGAGTCAGATGCATAAAGTAATCCTTTCCCTTTACACTGCCATTAGGTCAGAGACATATCAGTCTGACTCAAGGTTCATGCATTTTAATAAGTAATTCATACAAAGTGCTGTCCTCTTTGATGATAATCTCGCATTCCTTCTCACTGCACACATCTCGAGGGAGAGACATTCAATTTTGTTTGTTTGCAAACAAACCAAACTGCATTCCGTCTCCTATTTCTTTGATTTTCCTTGTTGTGCTGTGCATTAATAGTCTTTTTATTGTTGCCTTTGATCCTACCATTGAGTTACACCCTGCTAACTGTTTTTGTTTGTTTATTTTTAAAGAAACACAGATTTTCCCAGTTATGAGATACATTCCCCGGTTTCCAGTTCAGTGGAAGTTTATCTGATGTAAAACATGGAATATTTATTGGGTTCTAAAAAATACTTGTTTAGCAAATAAACTAAAACAAAGTAGCGGATGCCAAATGCCATTGCTTAGGATTTGTATAACTGAAATATTTTTATCTTATATGTGTAATATTTCACATACGTAACATGAAGTGTGTAATGTTACTTATACATATATTTTTCCATCAACTTTTGCTATGGTATACCTTGATATAGGTGTCTTCAAAAAATTTTTTGAAGGTTGAAATGTGCTGATGTAACCTGTGTTTATGGGTGCATTCTTAACATAAAGAATGTTATTAACAAAAAGCGACTTTTTTTTTTTAAGGCCAAATGCTGCCTAACACCTTCTGAAATGAGTATAAAGAAGTTACCCTAACACTTGACTGTAAGTGTCTTGTGATGGAGCAAAGATTTAAAATGAAATTTCCTCAGTGCTGTGGTTATCTCACTGTTCTTAACTGTCTCAACTTATTTCAATGACAGACTGCTGTTTTCATTAATACATCTATTTGTATTTCTGTGAGCAAAATAGTACTGTTTTTAAATTAGTTGCAAGCACTTCACCACTTAAAAGTTTTAGTTCAGCTTGATGGACAGTAATGCATCTGAACAATTACATTCTTAACAGATTGAAAGACCTATGGTTTATTTGCTATACACTGAGACAGCATAATATGCCCATGAAGGAAGTCATGTTTGTTGGATTAAAATCAAACTTTATAATGAGTTATAAAGTCCAGTTATTCTGAATGTTATAAAGAAAATTCCATGCAAAGTCTGCATCTTTGCAAGACTTGTGAACACTTACGTCTCTGTAACTGTTATATGTAAAAGTCTGGATGCTGTATGATATTTGGTAGATTGTATTTTTGTTTCTGTTCAGATAAAATAATATTTAATAATTATTTGAGACAATCAATGTGGATAAAACTGTATGGAGGAAAGGGAAGCGTGCAATGACTTTCTAGAAAGTTTGGTGTGTAATGCACAGTAACCTAATCATATAAAAAATTGCTTTAAACAGCATTAATTTCTTCTGTTAATAAAAAAAAGCAGCAGCTGCTCATAAATGTTTGGTTTAATGCAGAGAGAGAAAACAAGCAATTCTGTTCATAATAAGACATCTTGGAGAACTGATGATTTCTTATTTTCTCCAGGAGTCACAGCTGAAAGCGCTGAAGGAGACCGTGCAGCTTTGCCTGTCTTTGGTTCTGCACAATCAGCCTCCCGCTACGAATCTCATCGCTTCAAAACCAGTGGAGAAGCTGACATCCCCAGTTACAAAGGGCTCAAAAGTTCCGTTTCAAGTGACAAGCACCAAGGTATGGTTTCTCTCTTTTTTTTTTTTTTTAAACATCTTTGACAGTTTGTCCTGTAAGAGCATCAAACTGGAACTAAGGAGGATTTTGAATTCATTGAAAGATTAGGATGAATTTTGAGGATAATTCTAAGCCTGTTTCTGATGTCAATAAACTTTTTTTAAAGTTGAGAAGCAGCTGTTTTTTTCGCTGAGGAACACAGTTCTGTCTATCACTTGCTAAATGGACCATGTCTGCATAACAAATCTACAGGGAAAATGGATTTGCATCTAAAATAAGTGAGGATGCTCATTCATAGGATTATTTACCTGTCAGGCACTGATAGTACATTTATGGTAATATAGCAGTAAACACGAAGACAGGTTTTGCTTATCATGTTTTTTTAGTGAAAAAAAACTGATATAAAACCATAAAATAGTCTGGGGCACCCAAATCAAATTTTCCAAAAGAGATCTATGGAACTAACAATAGGCCATGAGGAATATTCCAACCATGCAAGATGGGAAGGACAGTTTAGGAGAAAGCATGAAAAAAAAATTGATGAAAAGTGGTTTGATTCAATAGATTCAAGCATTTTAATACAGTCAAGGTTTACAATGATTTAACAACTGTCCTGATAATTTTCATCTCCAGGGTTGCATTTTGCTCATGTATCCAATTGATTCAATAGATCTAGGAGAAATCTGTGATTTCAATTAAAAAGGAAGTTTTACAAAAGAACGACTGAAGGACACTTTAATTTCCCCCTTAAATTTCAAAACTCTTTCCTGAAATATAAATAGGAATTGCTAACATAGCAAATTTGTAATTTTTATATGGCAGCTGTTGATATTCACTTAGTACAGATGTCGAAGTCAAAAAGTTAGTAATCTTACAGTGTGTAATTAAAATTGAAATGCAGTTTAAGAAAGCAGAATATAATTGTAAAACTGGATGTCACACTGCTACTCTTAAAATAATGATTGTCAGTTCCTTAATAACTGTTTTATAGGAAGAAACTTTCATTCTCAGAAATTATTACCTCTGGAAACAAAGCAGTGTATTAATAGCAGCACATGAGGATATTAGTGCTCGTTTAGATTAAGATCACGTGGTTCTCTGCTCTGCAGGAGAGTGGACTCTTCTTTTGGAGGTCATGCAGGCTGAGCTTCACGCTGGGATCCCAGGAGCACATTTTTCTTAACTAATGTGACTGTAGAGTTGTCTGTCTTGTTCTTACTGTCTTTGTCTTCAGGATGGATGTGTTTGCACCTCTGTCATGGAAGCACAGGTGCACTGAAAGATAGGGCCCAACAAGCCCCTGTGCCTGTGTTTAAGATAGGTATAGGGTCAGAGCCTTTGAAGCATTTGAGGTCTCCATGGTTTTACAGGTATTACTGCAGGGAATACAATGTAGACATTAGAATTATATTTCTGATATTTGACTGAAACACAGAATACTCTTCCTTTTCCGTGATCATACAGATTTTAATGTTCCTGTTTGTAAAACGTATCAGTATTTCCATGCTCCAGCCTTTTGAGAAGCAGTATTTAGTCCTCTGTATCCAAAAGTGCTTGAATAAGTTGGACTGCCTCTTTAACACACGTTGCTCACATTTCTCTGTACTTGACATATGCCATGAAAAAGTCTGAGAAAATAATGGTCTGCAATCCTGTTCTTCCGCACATTGACACCTCATTATTATAAATCTGTGCATTATCTGTGATTATAAAACCACTGAAATCTGCTACTGTGAAATAGGTTGTCAAAGAATCATAGTGAGTCCAGAATAAATACCCTCTGCACTTGAACTGTATTAGCTAAGCTTTTTTTTTTTTTTTAAATAGTGACATCAATTCTTATGTATCTTTTCCTTGGATTTTTCTTCCTCTTACAAACGAACTAACTCCAACTACAGATGTATATCTTTCTCTTTTTTATTAGATTTGCATAAACATTTTAATATAGGAGGCTAGTATTTTTGGTGAATATAAATTACATGATTACTTAAATATGTTTTCATATGTAAAAATGGATTCTTCCATTCTTACATTCCAGCACTTAGGCATCTTGTCATGTCTGATAAGCAGCAGTTTCGCCTTCAGGAAAGACCTGATGATTTGTCTGGCAAATATCTTTTTTCAAAGATATTCTTATCTAGCCTAAAAATTACTTTATTTTAAAGCCATTGAAGGGTACATCGTATGGTGTGTGATACCTGTGTCACCTGGGGACAATCATCCTGGGATTGGGATGCTTCCTGGTTTTGTTTTGTTGTGTGGGTTTTGGTTTTTTGTAAAAAAAAAAGTACAAATATTAGGTTTGTATATAAGTATTCATAAGTATAAATATAAGGTTGTATATTAGTATTCATAATTGGTAACTGTAATACCTGAGTGCTTGTTAGAGATTATATTTTACATAAGAACATGGTGTAGAAAGGATAATTAGGAAAGCCAAGTGCCAAATTTCTTGTTCAGGTTCATTTAAAAAATTTATTTTCTAGTGAGGTATTTTGGTCTTTCTAAAGACTGTGATATAAAGCAACATAAATCAGATTTTTAAAAAATCACTGCAAATCAGTGCATAGAAGTGCATAAATCTGTGGAAAAAAAAGCTATTATCCTGAATAGCTCAGGAATTTGAAAGAGTGGGTAGTAATGGGAAATTCTTACATTTAAATCATAGAAAAAGTTCAAATCAAAAACAGTATCAGTCTGAGGTGTGTTTTGTGTCATCTCGAATGAGTTAATATTTACAATTTACAAGAACATAAAATATAGAATTTACCATTTGAATTGGTCCTAATATTTCAGACCAAACCTCTTTTACCTGTCACTGATCACTGGTATTGACTTCCTATTGAGACATTTTCTGCACTTACTGTATCTTGGCATAACAAACAACTCTGAATTTATATGGAGTTAGTAGATGGAATGCATTCTTACTCCATTTTTTTTTTAATTCCTCTTTCTGAAAAAGGTTAACATTATACCTTTAAAAAAATATAGTTATAATAGCTGTCATTCAAATATCTTCGGCTGTGCAGTGTAAACATACCTGTGCTCCGAATGCAACAAAATGAGCTTTGGTAACACTGTGGAAGTTTAATGGCAGACCAAAATCAGAAGTGAAACAGAAGAAAAGTCTATTTCCAGTAGCAAAGTGGAATATACAAATGATGGGGAGTACAGTGACACAGATACCAGAATAATAGTGACTAGTTTGCTCTGTGCTATTTTTGCCTAATGGAAAAACATTGTTTCGTGTATTCTCCAGATGAATCCCTTCGTCATAAATGCCCTGTGGGTTTTGTGTGTTTCATTAACTGCACTGTTTTAAGAGTGGAAATGCACATGAATTTCAAACTGTGAAATATAACATCCTCTCTCATATGGTACCTAGCGTAGGTGGAAAGACCACCTATGAATGCCACTTCAGTGTTCTAGTCTTGATGGTGGAACTACAAGCTGAATAAGAATGACAACTGTCCTGTAGAAACGCGTAGTACAGACTGAAAGGAGAACTGCCACTCCATTTTTAAAAGATTTAAAGATCTCACAAGAAAATACATCACTTCTGCAGTAAAAACTATGGCATCCAATTATTATTACCCAGCTGGCTTGATAGAAACTGAATCTAATTAACTAATTAACTAAGGTACAGACCCTGCCTACAAAAGGCAGGCCATTTCCTCCTGGCTGTGGAAGATGCAACAGCATCCTTGGAGCTGCAGCCCAGGCTGGTGAGCAACAAAAAACTGCTGCAAGGAGCTGTTTCCTCTGCCTCATATATTGTGAATATTGTGGATTCTGGCATACGTTGATCAATGTAGAAATTCAGAAAAGTTAAGGCACTGTGGGCCATCCTTTTATCTGGAAATAAGTACTTCATTTGTTCCACATCAGAGTGAGCTTGAGGAACTTTGTATCTTCATTAAGCCTGAGAAAGTGTTCTTGTCAGAGCAGGAAGGATGAGAGCTTGTGAGAGTGTTAGAAAAAGATACAAGTCTGGAAAGTTGATCAGGAACCAGGTAGACCCTGAAGAGCATTTTGAAATGGCTTTATAGGAAATCAAGAGGCTGAGTTTGCTGTGTTGACACAGAAGTAATGTGTTTAGCCTAAATTTAAGCTCACAGTTATTCTGAGTGCATAGTTACTGAGCATCTACTACAGACACAGAGCAAGGCTGCTGAAAAAATAGTATGATCCTAGTGTTAAAGAGTCTTACCCTCTCTACTAGTTTAATCAGGCCTTTTGAAGTTTTTTTTAAAAAAAACTATAAAGGATCTAGGATTTCTCTAGGAAGCTATAATATTTCTTAGGCTCTAGACCTTATCCATTTCATTCTACAAAGGTAGAAATGATTGATAAAAATGCTTATGTAAAATAACACTATAATAGTTAATTATTTGTACTAAAAATTAGTTATACCATTATTGTAATGTTACTGATAATACTGTAGCATCTTAAAATTGGATAACTGACTAGAAATTTGAAAAACATTAGTTGTGTGTACATTTTTTCAAAATATGATTATAAATTTTGAAGGAATGAAGAAATGTTTGGAATGTGTAGGTTGGACTCAATTCATGTTTATGGAGACTGAACAAAGTGGGTGTTTTAATTATCTTCTAAGAGTGCCTTTGTAAATCCTAGAAAACTAACAGAATAGCTTCAGATTCATGAAAAATTAACCAGCTGAATGTAGTAATATATCATTTCATCTTTCTCCCTTTGTAGGTCAAGAAAGAAACCTAAATCAGAACAAATTACTTAAGGAAATAGCTCTGATTTTAGAAAACAGAAATTATTACCATTCATATAATTTATCATAATATTCCAGTATAAATGAAAGTTCTGACCCTTTTGAACAAAGCAATTGCAAATTCTTTGCTCAAAAACCTGTGAAACAACACAAATATAATTATGGACTTATTTTCATCCTTGTAAGAAAGATTAAGACGCTGAGAGCTTTTCTAACGTGTCTGATTATTTTTACTCAGGGTGACCTTCGCATAAGA